AACCTGACTGAAACTCTTCAAATAAACCATTCCTCTGCAGATGATCTGTTAGCTGTTTGACAACTACTCTTTCAAGGATGTTTGATATGAAAGGAAGGTTGGAGATTGGCCTATAATTAGCTAAGACTGCTAATTATAGCACTTACTATTGTTGTCTTACTGCAGTTAAATATTGACAAGTCATTAGCTAATGAACGTTACCTAGTGTGTTTCTGAGTCTAATGGAGATTCTGTTGGACAAAAACTTAATGTTGTATTCAGTGACTGAGCATATAAAGTCATTAGGAGTAAATCGCAGGAAAGCTCAGATTTTTGGCATCTGACTTAATTTTCTGAGGTTTTGTAAGATTAGAAATGTCAGGTTTGTTTCCAGCAGGCTGGTGTTTCTTCATGCTGCCTGAGAACATCTTGCTAAGCTTATTTAAGATTGTTAGGCTGTTGGTGTGGATGCAAGCGACAGGCCACAACTGTACCACATCATCAACTACTTCTGGCTCAGCATGCTGTGCTTAATTACAGCAATGAGCTATCAGACTGACAGCATCGTGCCAACAGCCCACATTACAAATCAAGTCTTTAAGTAAGTGTAGCTGCCCAGCTACACTTACCCTCACATCAAGCAGTCACACAGCTGATCAGAGCCTGAGACTCCCTTTCTAGAGATGCGACTGGTCAGTAGGCTGCGATTTATTTATGTTTTTAACCTTCATGACCCTAAAAACTCAGAGGTAAAACTACAGTTTCCTGGTTAAGCAACAAAACGTCCTTTGCACTACAGTCTTCTGTCGCAGAGGAAAGAATCTGCAACTGTAGGTAAGAAACAAAGACACAGTGCGATGTGCAATTTCAACATGTTTTTAATGGAAAAAACCCAATAATCCAGCAGGAAACCACAGTCACTTTACTTTTTCCACACAGCTCACTTTTAGTTTTTTCCAACAGAACAACAGCAAAACCAAAACTGACTGCGATTCAAATGCAGCTGAACCCGACCGTGACAAAAAACAAAACAGAATATCACAAACGAGGATTAACAAATGATTTTAGATCAACTGCAGGAAGACAATAAGCTGATCAGAGCATGGCTTTATAGAGGGCGAGAGAGCGACGCAGAAAGGGTTCCTCCTCCATACACACCAGCAGATCCTTCAGGATCACCCGGGTCACTCTGTGAACACCTGGCCTGGGCAGCACACACACCTGACACACACAGACACAGTTTCTGTGTTACCCTCCCTGCATGAACCTGCTGGTTGTGCTGCGACATAAACACTGAGCTCCTGCTCTTCAGTGAAACGCTCGCTCAGCTGCTACAGATTTAATTTAATCTGATCTCTTAAAACAAAGCAGCACAGAGGTGATGATCCATCGACCAGCACGAGTACGGAGAGGACGTCTCCCTCGTTCAGCTTTATGCTTGGAATCAACCTGACATAATAAAAATAATGTCATTGCAGGTTTTAAAACAGCATCTTTCCTGTTAAGTAGCTAATATGTTGCTTTGCCTTTGTAACAAAGTATCAAATATTCTCCGCGATCACATTGGTCCTTCAATCAGTTTTATTTCAAACCATGTCTAAAATATTTTAGAATGAAGGGGAAAGAGTTCTTCTGGTTACTGATGTGTGATCTGAGCACTGACACACATCGATACTGAAAAAGAACATCTGTGCAAAGATGGCGCTCTCTCCATCACTACTCCATGCTTCCTGTCAACGTTTGCTGAACTAGCTGAGGTAAAGTCTGTACAGACGTGGAGGAAGGCCTGCAGCAGCGAGAGGAAACGGAGGCGGCGTGCAGTCTTTTCCTCTGGGTAATGGAGTTCAAAGGCAGCGAGTGTGCAGCTAACAGAGCGTCCCCATCTATAAACCTACAGCCTGAAGCGCTGCGACTTAAACACACAAAGAATTAAAGACTCACTGAGCTAAACTAACAGTCTTATACAGGCAGCAGGTTCAGCTGAGGGCAGCAGGTTTACAGCAGCAGGTTAAACATTCAGATATCAAATTAGAAAAGATGTTTCTGAAATGATCCATTCAGACCACAAAAGGATAGAAAACAAAACTTTGTGCACCCACCTGGCTGTCGGTCTGATCCAGGGGTCTCTTCCTGCGAGGGCCAATGGCAGCCAGAGCAGCGAGGTTGGCCTCCCTCTGCTGCAGCTGAGCTTCCTCTATTTGCTGCAACTGAAAAGAGAAGACAACGAACATTTTTTATGTTTTCACACATATTTTCTGTATGCATACGTGGACACACTGTCGTTTTATATATATGTTTATATAGTCAATATATAAGCCAGTTTAGAGGCATCTGTAGCTAATCACTGTCCTCCAGGTCGCACATCTAATTCATGTCACTTCCGATCACTGAAATGGGAAATATGACAAATTATGGCAAAGATTTGTTAATCAAATCCAACTTTGTTGAGTGCGTGTCACTAAACTCACGATGTTCACTGGTGGGAATCCTTTCAGTTTGTACTCTCAGTACTCGTGTGTAGGTACAGACTTGGCAAAGTGCTAGCTTGTGTGCAGTGCAGAGGTTGTGTGTGTGGGGGTGGGAGGGCATGTAAATGAACAGATTGTGTTGCTGTGGAGAAGCCTCTGGGGGCGTGATGGCTGCGAGCTACACAGCTACAGCTAAACGCGCCATGTGTGGCGTTTCCGCCTCCTTAAATAGCCGCGGTGCCACCGCTGCCTTTCATCCTCCTCACACTACTCCTCTCCTGCCAGCGAAAACATTACACACACCATCGTATTATTAAACGAACAATTAGCATGAAAAGTAGCAGAAACGTACAGAGTTTGACTTCCTGATGCTGAAAGTGAAGCCAGCGATAAAATACAAGCTGCCATTCCCACAATGACCCAGCAGAACAAAGACGTTTATGGGCTGCATCTCTCCTTCACTACAACTGAACACACTAAATCTTATCAAGGCTTCAGAATTAACAGAGGTGTGGCTGCTTCGACTGACGCCTGCTCGACTCTTCTGGACTTCATCTCCGTGATGATGCTGCTGGTCTGTGGGATGGGAACAGCAAGTCATCTCAGCCACGCTTACTCCTGTTACTTCACCTGTCATTCAGCTGATCTGTATTCAGCCCACATGTAGCATTGTTCAGTTAAGGTTTACAACCCCTCCCTCTGTGAAGTCAAACAGACTATGGATGATGCGTACTAACCAATAGTGTTACCTGACAACCCTCTGATAATTTTAAGTTGACTTTTATCTTTAAAGTGGTCACGTGTGGCTCAAAAAACAATCAAGCCTTTAAATCTGGACTTATAGTGGCAATGCTCATGTTATATACATGTTCTTTCTTCACAGTTACAACTTGTAGTCACAACAACAGTTTGTGTCTCCCAGAGTAAACAGCTCACAAACACCAACATAAACAGGGGCAGAGGTGGGAGAATGAGAGCCGACTCCTGTGGAGAGTTTGGAGAAGGAAACGCACCTCTTTGGCTTTTTGCTTGAGCTGCTGATACTCTGGATCTTCAGTGTGAGAGCGACTCTGTGATCAGACATGTAACCCAGGATTTAATGCACAAACTCTTCTCAGTAGTTGTTTTCAAAGATACATTTAATCTAAAAACACTAATCGTGTTAGAGTTGTAAACTTTGCTTTTGAATATGTGGGTTGATAAGAAGCCTTATTCTGGCTCCACCTACTCTGGCAAAACGCAGCAATCTCTCCCTCTCCTCCTCATCTCTCTTCTTCTTCTGCAAGCTCTCAATTTCCTCCAGGAAGCGAAGCTGAGAACGAGCATCACTGACTTGCGTGTGCCACGAGTTCTGCTGTTGAAAGACAAAT